ACCTACAGAGACAGTGAAAGTTGAAATGCTCATAGGGAGTCCTCGTGTAGTTCTCAAGAAATATAGTTCTCACGAGAATCAGTTATCGAAAGCAAGCTACAATATTTACCGAGAATCCACGAGATTTGCCGCGATATGATATTCAAGAAACCTCAACAAGGATGAAGCCCTTTACGCTTTTAATAGACGTTATTTTTAGTGGATACTCATATTTGAGTAGACGCTGTGTTTATTTATTAAACAGTATATATTTATTTATTCTACTGGCCTGAATATTAAAGGCATCTTATTACATAAAAATATGAAATCTCCGACAGGATTCGAACCTGCAAGCCCCCCACCTCCGAGCAGAGGGAAACTGTCGTTAGATTCGACGTGCGTTAGACCAGCTCGGCCACGAAGAACTTTGCCGATCAAGCAAGGTTGAATAGTGTCTTTAAGCGAAATCCTTCTCGTTATAGACTTCCAAAATTATCATATCTGCTCTGTTTCATATCCGAACGTAAACAAAGCAATTTCTAAAGAAGCAATGGATTTTTATTTATTAGTCCGATATATTTTATCACTTTAAACGTTATTTTTAGTGGGTACTAATATTTGAGTAGACTTTCCGTTTATTTATTAAACAGTATATTTATTTATTTTTGTCTACCGGCCTGAATAGAGAAATCTTATTAAAGAAAAAACATGCGCCCTCCGATATCGCTTAAGTTAACTTGTATATTTTTTTATTTAAAATTTCAGTAATATTCGAAATGTTAGATTAAAATGAATAAATATACTTTTTAATAAATAGTGATCCATAGCGTAATTTCACTTCGGAATGGTTGTTACAACTGAGAATTTGAATTTCTACAGTTATCTACGCCATATTGAAATACTAAAAACAGAAAAACAACTGTAAAACTAACAGAAAACGAGATGAAGTGATGTAAGTTAGCGTCCATTTTAAAACCGGATGTTTTGATTGTAAAAGCTGAATAAAAATTGAGAAGGATATATAAATGAAAGATTATATAATCTTTCCCTTATATATCCTTCTCAATTTTTATTCAGTATTATAACTTATTATACAAATTAGTTTAATATATTAATAATAAATAATAATATTAATTTTAAATATTAGTATAAATGAATTAATATAGTAATATGGGGGGGGGCAGAAGCGGCTAATGCCCTTCCTCAAAATTTTGGCTGGCCCCTACGTTGGCCCCACACACTTTTCTAAGTTTTGTAGAGGAAAAGAAATCAGAGCAGACAAACTATACTGTTCTGCTAGTATTGACGTTAGTATTAACCGATTGATTTTGTTTTGAAGTTAACCCCTCTCTTGTGGTCCAACAGCTTGAGAGTAGAAAAGAGGGCAAGAATAGATTAGAACTCCACTACTATGAATGAAAAGTTATTCAGTTTAGTTTAGTAAAGTAACATACTTATACTAAAACTCATTACTAAGTTGTGTATACGATACTGGTGTAGTATGAAAAATAAAGACACTGCTTGAATTCCCCCCCACTCCGCAGAAAAATCTCGGTCCCAAGTGTTCCCCCCAATTTCAGAGTTCCAGAATCGCCACTGATCGTAATAGACTCGATATTGTGAAAAGGGGTGATCATTGACATCGATGGAACTTATATATATATATATATATATATATATATATATATATATATATATATATATATATATATATATATATATATATATAAACAAACTCGCAGAGCAGCATCACCCACAGGGATCTCATTGAATAAATCTGCACATTTTAAAAGTTTATTAATTACTTACATATATTAAAATGGTTCATTATAAGTTATTTTACTTTGTGTATATAAATATTACATAGAATTTAATTGTTAAATACAAGTTTATTTTCATTAAATTAGTTTTACTTCAAAATAAAGCATATGCATTTACTATTTCTATAATACAATTACTAAACTTATTAGCAAAAAATAAGCTTTTCTTTTTTCATCGAATGGTTATGGGAGTCCACCAAAAAGAAAAAACAGAAAAAAAGAATAAAAGCGCTTCATGGGTAAAAAAAAAAAAAAGTTTGAGAACCACTTCGTTGGAGTATTTTTCGCCGCTGTGGTCATCACTCCCCTCCGTCTCACAATTGTGTCTCATAGTAACATTCAAGGCAGAATAGTGTGATGGCTTGCCGGTTCCTTTTGCCCTGGGGATGTTGAGGTTACCCCCGTTCCTCGTCTCAAAAAGTTAAAAAGTTAAGATCTACAAGGCAACAGGGGTCTGAATTCAGAATTTTCCTTCTCCTAAACTGGCAATGGTATATTCCCTTGAGTTCAAAACGCCGAAGATGTTTATTAAGCATAGTTTAACTTGACATAGCGTTTCGGCAGTTTCATTACTATTCTATAGAACTAAACCCACACAGTGTGATCCATATTTATGGCCTTGTGCCGTACAAATATAGGATGGCATAAAGAATAATGATTAAGAAGATAGTTTCGCGGTTTCACATCTCCCAAAGAGGAATTTAAAGCGTCCAAGATGGGATTCTTGTAAGAATACCATAGACAGAACATGTAACAGAGAAGTTTCAAAAACCTACAAGGCAACAAGAAAGAAAACTTGAAATTTCTGGGACGAAAAGAAGGCCTGGAGAATTTAACATTCACAGTACATACTGAAAGCAAGAGAGACAGGGAGAAACAGCTAGTAATCTATTTATACTGTCCGGACTATTGTTCTCATCTTTGTTACCATATTCACGACGTTTCGGCCGTTGTACGCTCCGGCCTTCTTCAGTTAATTTGAATTTCGAACCGAATCCTTTATTTCGTCTACCAAGGTAGATTGTTCTAGTTCCATGTGCCATGACTCATCCGGATGTCTCAACTATCCCCCTTTAACTCAACTTAACTCTCCAAGATTTTTTTTCACCACTGCAGTAGCCAGGTATTGAACTCACACCTCTTTGACTCAAGTCACTGGATCCAAGCAACCAACTAACCAACCAACTAACGCTTTTATCCACTAAGCCATCATGTATGAATTTTTGGGACTTATAAACTTAATGTCTCAGTAACCATTTTTTACCGGAGCTCATATTGCAATTTTTGTTATTGTTTTTCTCTAGCACTCCATATTACTGGTTCCTATATTCATTTCTATACTTGGTCAGCTTAAGAGATTTTGTGACCTACCATATGTGTTGATTCCTTAAGTTTTCGTATTTTCCAGTGATGTTCTCGGTCTATTTATTCAACCTTATCTCAAGGGGGGGGGGCAGTGATCGCCCTTTTTCCTCCATATGTGTTCAGCTACGCCTGATTTTTCTGTTTCCCCTCGTGTTATGGCTTTACGATGTTTTTGCAGTCTTATCTTAAATGGGGCGGCCTGTTTCTCCTTTACATTTCTTATTACAGTCCTTAGTCATGCTCTCCTCTATGGAGGGGGGTCTTACTCGGAAGAGGTGTCTACGAAATGTTGAACCCCCTTTTGAAGGTCGTCCTGATGTTATATGGACCACAGATCTTTTGTACTTTTTTCCGATAATCCCTTCACATAGGGTAGGCAGACTGAAGGTGTTTTCTGAGTGCTGTTATCCTCTTGTATCCTCCCATCCCAGTTTGTTGGTGCTGCTGTCATGTACCCAGGGTAGTTGTTACATTGTAGGGTACTGCTTTTACTGACCATTTCTTGTTTGTATGTTTCTGGGTAACCACTTATGACTTTTGCTCTATGTTGTAAGCAGTGGGCGATTCCTTTCTTTGCACTGTATGTGTGTGGTAGGAGTTGAACTTGAGGTATTGTCCGGTGAGTGTTGACTTACAGTATACGGATGTTTGGAACTCTTGCTCTGTTCGAGATATTAATACATCCAGTAATGTTAGTTTGTCGTCGTTTTTTTTCCTCCATATTGTGATCTGTAGCGATGATCTTATTGAGTTCACATGGTCCAGTAGTAGCTGGACCTTTTCCTGGTGAAACCAGAGTATGAAGATGCCATCTACGTATCTCAGCCATAAGGTAGGCACTAGTCATGTGGATTCTAATGCCATTTCTTCGAAGTATTCCATATATAAATTTGTTATTGCTGGTGATAATGAAGAGCCCATTGCTAAGCCTTCATCCTATCGCTATATATCTGATCCCATTCCGAAGTGTGTTGTTTGTGTACAGAAAGTCAACATCTCCATCAGGTTATCTATTGGTATACTGGCCCGTTCTCCTAGGGATGAGTCCAAGGCCACTCTGTCTCTGACTACCAATAGTGCCTCCTCCGTGGGTACCTTGGTGAACAAACTCACCACGTCCAGGCTCACCATTTAGTTGGTTTGGATGGGAGCATCTTTGATTATTTCCACAAAGTAGGCGGAGTTTCGGACATATGCTTTCCTATTAATGGGTCAATTATATCTACAAGGAAACGACTCAGAGGGTGGCACACAGAGGTTTGACAGCTAACAATTGGTCTGAGCGTAATACTGTTTTTGTGAATTTTGGGGGAGACCGTATATGTGAGGTAGCTTGGTGTAACGCTGTGCTGTGACAACTGTGTGTATGTCTTAGGTGGGAAGACGTCCCTGTTCTTGATTAAGATCTGCGATAATTTTCGTTTTGTTTTAATTGTAGGATCTTTCTTTACTGTAGCTACCATTTCTAATGAGGTCTTCCAAGGTGCGGTTCGAAATTCCAATCAGTTGAAGAAGACCGGAGCGTACAACGACCGAAACATCATGAATATGGCAACAAAGATAATGACAACAGTCCGAACAATGTATATAGTGTAAATAATTAGAATACCACATCTCAGAAATATAGACAGTTAGTAACCTACTTAAAAAGGTTTGCGTGAACGAATTGCAGAACAAGGACACATACTGAGGGTAAAAGGTCAAAGGTCACTTCAAGCAAAAAAGAACAACAAGTTGTGGACGTGACACATAAAAAAGAAGCCTCGCAAACCGTTACAGGATCCCCCTCCCCCCGCTATCCAAAAGTATAGCGTTTCTATGAAATGAAGATAAATGATGAGGTAACAAAAACAGGTTGGAAAAAAGACAAGGGAAAAATTAATAATAAAGTACTATGCCTTGTGGGAGAATTTTTTTTCTTTACAATTATTTTAAAGGATAATAATAATAATAATAATAATAATAATAAAGAAGAAGAAGAAGAAGAAGAAGAAGAAGAAGAAGAAGAAGAAGAAGAAGAAGGCGATGTCAAAAGCGAAACAGAGAAAATTGGGATGTACAAAAAATAACAGACAAAAAATAGGAAAGAAAAAAGGGGTGAGAGAAGGAAAATATTTTTTAAAAAGTAAAGCAAATGAAAAAAATAGATGAAATATTTTCCCCATTCCTTTATTTTCATAAATTTCCCATCAAAATGAAGTCTAAATATTTTTAATTAAAGGAAAAAATTATCCTGCAAGCAACAAGAAAATCGATATAGAAAAGAGACGTTATTGTTTAAAAATATCAATTCGTGAGCGAGGCGAAGAACATCAGCTTTGGGATAAAGTCCTTACTTGTAAAATCAAGAGATTTTCGATATTTTTTTTTGTTCGACGTGTTTGGATGGGCATTGGTCAAGCCAGATCTGAAAGTCACAGAATATATATTTTTTTTTATTTTATAGAACAGCTTATAGCTTGTACTGATACCATTTAGTAAACCATATAGTGATTTTCTAAGCCCGGCTTAGATGTGGCACAAGGGCGAATGTATGGGGCATCCAGTGAGGATTGAACTCACTACTCAATCGTAATTGATCTAGCAAGACACGCTTTCTAACCATTACACCACGTCGAGGCGACCATATATTCTTTGCAAAATTTTCAGTATATAATTGTTCTTATCCTGTTGTGTTTACTTTCGCATAATCTTTTCAGATTATTTATTACTGCATTCATTTATGGCGTGATTTAACGTTAAATCTTTTTTCTTCAGAAAGGTAACATATTACAAACGAAAGACCAGCCCTACCAGATAGTGTAAAGTCTAGTGAGGTTGCCCCACCTTGTCTGCTAGAGGACTTCTTCTAATGCCTGCTATGTGAAGTTGGATAAAGCAGTATAAAAGAGATTTGTACGAACCCTCTCTTTTTCTTCTTTCTCTATTCAACCACAAAATGGCGTAGTGACAAGACGTGTCTTGTTTCACCTGTGAGAGACTTCTTTGTCCCTGAATCACGTGTTGCATTTTATACAACGCAATGCTATTACGACATTATCTTCTATTCAATTCTATCCATTTCTCAACCAACTGCGGGAAAAAAATCTGCTTCGTCAGTCATGTATCGAAAGATACATGATCGCCTAAGTGTCTATCACGCATGGCACATAACTGACTGACTTCTGTTCAAAAAAAAATTTTCATGAAACCACACTAATATCTCCACTAGAGCCTAACAACCCACACACATATATATTTGTTTAAACGTTATTTTAGTGGATACTCGTGTTTGAAATAGACACCCTGTTATTTTATTTTTAAACAGTGTGTATTACGTCTATCGGAACTGCGAACTGGATTCATATCTTTCTCAAGAGCATTTGTGTGAAAGTGAACGCAACTGACTCAGCCAAAATTTTAATTTATCTCGCTGATTTCATTTTCCGTACCAATAACCATTACGGCACCTTCACATCCTAATACATACATAGTAAATTGAAACTCTTGCTTAAAACCTTTCAAAGATTGAAATTTTCAAAAACTAATATGCTAAAAATGAGCCCTAGAATTAGTTATCACCTTCTATGTCTTCTTTGTTGCGTGTCCATTCAGGACGTGAGCGATCATGGCTCTCCACAACATTCTGTCTTTTTTTCTCTAATTAACCTTTGAGTCACTACTATCCTTCTTTGTCTCTGTTCTGCCATTTTTCTTCTCTGTCACCTGACCCCCCCTCCTCTTTTTTCTTTCCCTCCCGCCACTTCGCTACATTTTTCCTAATCGTCCTCCTCCTTTCTTCTTTTCCTCTCTCACAACCTCTTTTTCTCCGCCCCCTCGTCGGCTACTCTTGTTTTGCTCTCTCTCTCTCTCTCTTTGACCACTTCACTTTTCATTCTCCTCCTTTCTTCTTTTCCCCCTCTCTCATTCACCACTTCTTTTTATCCTCCTCCTCCTTTTTCCCCTCTCTCTCTTGCCACATCTTTTCTCTCCTCATCTCCTTTTTCCTTCTCCTCCTTTTCCCCCTCTCTCATTCATCAGGTCTTTTTATCCTCCTCCTCCTTTTTCTTTCTCTCTCTTTCGCCACATCTTTTTCTCCCCACTTTTTCGCCTCTTCTTTTTTCATTCTCCTCCTTTCTTCATGTCTCCCTCTCTCAGTCACCACCTCTTTTTCTTCTCCTCCTTTTTTCTTTCCCTCTCTCTGTTTCGTCACCTCTTTTTCCACCCACCTCGCCTTCGCCACTTCTTTTTTCCTTCTCCTCCTTTCTTCTTCCTCAACACCTCTTTTTCTCATCCTCCTCTGTTCTTTCCTTCGTCTTTTTTCTCCCCACTTTCCTCTCCCTTTTAAATTTGTTTTCCAACAGTTTCTTTTCACTTACTTTCTACTTTTCCCCACTTTAACCTAAATTAAAATAAAATAAAATAATTATATAATTAAAAAAATAAAATTGAATAAACTAAACATTGCGTCATTTTCCATTTCCTCTCTTTTCAAAATCCTCCCCATCTCCTCCGTTTTTTGTTTTTTTTCTACTTTTCTCTTCTTTTCTTCCTTTTGTACATTATTTATTCATCATGAAATGTTTGTAACGAATTTCTTCAAGGCTTTCCATTTTTACCGTCTGCTTCTTTTTAGGATTGCTTTTTTAGAATGTGAACAAAACCAGATGTGTACGATGAAGGAAGCGAAAGACTTCATTTTTACCTCCCCTCACTGTTGTCTTCTCTGCTTCATGTTAACATACCAGTCGAATATTAGAATCCCAAACGGCATTTCCAAGGGTTTCACACAAATAAGGAATTTATATATATATATATATATATATATATGCTTAGAGGAAGAGTCCACGTGTGCTTCTTGTAGTATTTAAAATAGATAGGTTGGTTAATAAAACAAGGGAAAACGAAAAGGTACCAATGTGATCAGTGTAAAAAGAATTTATTATATATATATATATATATATATATATATATTAAGGGACTTATTCTCACTTAAAATCCGTGGCCAGTCTTACAGTTACAATGAGTAAGGTTGGTGAGTAGGTCGGTTTCTGTGTAGTGTTTTCAATCTACATCACACTAATGTGGTATTTTTTTTACTATGATGTTCAACTTGTACAAGGCCAAAGAGCCACTCGAGGTAGAGGTTACAAAGTAAGAGGCAAGAGATAGAGTTTATGAGGATATGTGGGGAAGATAACGGTTAACCCTAGATTTGAACATGCCAAGATTGTAGTGATCGGGAAAGCGTCCTCTTAGGAGTCGGTTTGTTGAAATAAGAAGGGCGTGTGGAAAGAGGGAATGAGGGTGGTTTGTTATAATGTGCGGAGCATGGTGGGTCTTAGCCATAAAGGTTAGAACAGGTGGAACTAAAGAATGTAGTTCGTCTGAGCACTTTCCAGTGATAGCGAAGTGAGAGACTTGCGACGTGGGGAAATGAGTTGTAGGGTGGAAAATAATTCATTACCCACAAGGCCGCGGGGCGGTTTTGGACTCTATTGAGACTGGGAAGTGAGGGCTGGGCATCTCCTGTCCAAATATGACAACAGTACTCCATTTTCGGCATGATCTAACTCTTGTAAAGGTAGAGGATAATACGAGAAATCAGGTACTTCTTGGAGCTGTACATGTAACCGACCATTTTTCCTGCATCTTTAGCGATGAATATGTACGAATTCCACTTGAAATTTGAGTTTGTTGTAACCTAGAAAAGGTTACTGAATGAGGAATAACCAAAACGGAGGTTGGAAATGAAATGGTAATCTTTATAACATCAACAAAATACAATACTCGTCAGCGGCGTGTAGTAGGTAAACCACTGCTAGTGGTGGACTACATAGACAGCATATTGATATTTATTGTATTTAAAATACAATTATGGCACGTGGCCAGAGGGGGAGGGGTAAAGGCTGGTCCACAGTAACTATCTTATACCTAGTTAATCAGATTCACGACCCATTCACTCATTACAATTTACCCATTCACCACAAGAACTCGTCCATCATCAATCAATCCTCCATGCACCATAATACCACATCCTCTCAAGGGGGTCTTACAAAACGCGCCCCGTGACATAAAAATTTAATGATAATAAATAAATATATATAAAAATCTATGATGAAAAATGAGAGGGGAGGGAGATGAACCCAATAACAAACTAAAATACTAACACAAAACAAACTAAACATAACTGATGTTAGTTGGGCCCGTCCAACCCTAAAAAATGAGAGGCCGCTGTATTCTACCCATGGGACAAAATCAAGAAGCTCTCTCTCTCTCTAAGGGAGTGGGAAAGGAGAAAATATAGACGGACATGGGAAATATAAAAGCTGACCCAGTCGAGATGTACATAGACAGCATATTCCCCCATTTACAATAGTGTTCAACGTATTTATGAGGATTGGAACATACCCAATAGTGTTCATAGGTACGATATATAACAGAGTTTAAGGCCCAAGAGGCACTTAAGGCATGGGGCCTCCCTGAGAGAACAGCCATTCTTTGCAATTAGTGAAAATTATTCAGGACCCGCTCTGTGATGATGGAATGTTGCTGGTTTGGTTTTCGGGGTATTGAATGTGTAAGACAAAGCTAATTTGGTGCGTGCACTATGGCACGTCCGTCAAGCGGATGGGCGGGCTGGTTTGTCACGTGAACCAATTTCTTAGTGAGGTTGATCTTCACTGAGCGATCTACTTTCGTGGCCTTGTGATAAGCCAAACAATCACTGATCGAGCAATAGCAACACGGTGTTGTAGACTATTCGCTACTATAATGAGATCGATGTTCCTTGTTATAACACATTCATTAAAGACACCATTCACTAATGTAAAGTGCGCGAGCCTCATTGGGTACCCCATTACTTTGTCTTTGTATCATATTAAAATAATCAGCAAAAATCAATGTAGCTAATTTTTTAAATAAAAAATGTCCTATAATGAGTATTTGAAAGATGTTCTTCTAACTGCCTACTTATTACCACCGTCGCCTTCTCAATCATGTATCTTTTGACACATAACTGACGAGGCAGATTTTTTCGCGCAGTAGGTTGCCATTTCTTTCTGCGGTAGACCGGTTGCCATCCATGGTCTGTCCTGCTATTTACCCATAGCTTGGGGGGGGAGAAGAGGATTCATACCTTTCTCAAGGGTATTAGCACGTAAGTGAATGTAATGGATTCGACTGGAATTCGAACTCGGCTCTCCGATTCCTCAATCCGAGCCGCTATCCATTACTCCACCGAGATCGAATAAATAGAATCATAGAATCATTATGGTTAAGGAGCCTTTCTGTCAGTTACATAAAACCTAGCTTGGCCAGATGTCACAGTCAGTCAGTTATGTGCCATACGTGATATACGCGTAGGCGATCATGTATCTTTCGATGCATGACTGAGGAGGCAGATTTCTTTCCCGTAGTAGGTTGCCATTTCTTTCTGCGGTAGACCAGTTGCCATCCAAGGCTATAGAACCTGGTCTGTCTTGCTATTTACCCAAAGCTTGGGGGAAGAAGATTCATACCTTTCCCAAGGGGATTAGCACGTAAGTGAATGTAATTAATTTGACTGGAATTCGAATACTGGTCTTAGTTAATCGATTATCCGTTTCCTCTAAAGAACAATTCCAGCTCTGCAGTGAAAATTACCTCAATGTGCTCCCTAATTGAACATAATGGCAGGAGATTGTAGATACAGGCTGACCATGTCTCGACCATGAAGTGAATGACATTGTGGAGACACAAACCTAATCAAACAGGAAGTTAACGCTTCAGAGTCCAAAATGTGAATGACGAGTACATGTTCGTAGGCAGGTAAGCACGGCGCAGAACTTCCGTTTCTTTCAACTTCAAAAATAAGAAATTCGGATGGCATATTTCAACCAATGAGAGAACTTCCCGCTTAAAAGGTTGGCTAACCGTTTAATCCAACGCCTGTTTTCAACAAAATTTATATAAAGAAAAGCAGAAATAGCTTCTTTTTTTTTATTTATTTATTTTTGACAACCATTGCTACCGGAAGCCACAACGGTAATTTTATTGATACATGTTCAAGTACCCAACATGTAGGACTTATTTTTTCTCACCTGATAGAAACATTCTTTTCTCTCATCCACAAAACCACAGAGATATTATTCACTTTTCTTTCACTTAAACATTCAATGAAAAAAAAAAAATGGAACACGCATGAATTAATCTGATATTTTTTTTAACACTCGGACAGACATTTTTGAACGCGAAGATCTTTACTCACTCATCAAATTCCAAAATGGTTGCAAATTGTCATTCCATAAAATCGCTGTTATTATTCTGTGTTGTTCTTTCTGCTTTCTTTCTTCCATATTGTCTTTCTTTTTGCCCTTTCTTACACTCATACAGCACAACACAGTAGTAACCGTCTACCTTGTGTGAATCTTCGGCCTTGCATTTGGTGAACATTAGAAAATAAATAAATAAAATAGCCACTTCTCCGTACACAGTACAAATGTCTCGAGTAGCTTTGATAACTTTAAGCTTGATTGAAATTGAAGAAAGACTGGTTGAAAAGGCTCGTTTTTGTCTACTTGGCACTCCATCGTCACGTCTGAAATAAGGTAAAATTCAATCAAATTTCGAAAACGATAAACAAAAGTTGTAGAGAGAGAAGAGAGGCACAAAAAAGCATATTATGGTAAAAAAAATATTGTCTGTTAATTATTGGAAAAACGAAGAAATTTATCTGGCAACCCAATATGCTAACAGGGCTACGCTATTATAGTTTCGCCAGATTGCAAGAGGCTGTAACGGGTTAGTCCATTAGAATACCAGCAAATGCGCTGAATCATATTAGACACTTTATTTGAGGAATGTTGAACAGGATGCAAGTTTGCCAATCCAAAGTGAGTAAGGTTTTCGATTATCATACAGAAAACACGTTCCCCAGACTCTCAAAGAAAATGGCATTTGAAATTCTGGCATTTTACCCGGGTTCGAACATTGACCCGGGGTCATTTATGGGAAATATTCTTAATTTCGGAATCCGTTACAAACTCTTAGGGGATTAAAAAAAATATAAATTGTAATGTTTAGCCGAGATTTAAGAACACGTTATTAATTTTATTGATAATAGCGCAAATGTGAGCAGGTAACTAGTGATTTTCTAAGCCCGGCTTAGATGTGGCACAAGGCCGAAAGTATGGGGCACTTAGTGAGGATCGAACTCACTACTCAGTCGTAATTGATCTAGCAAGACAAGCTTTCTAACCATTACACCACGCCGAAGTGCCCATGTGAGCAGATAACTATGGCTTGATGGTTGGTTATTTTTGTTTAGCGGCATATCAACACCCCTATGGGTTGTTTAATGCCGAAATCTAAATATTTTGAACACAATTTCATCGCTTCAACTAAATATATTTTGAACGCATTTGCA